AAATATAAATTTTAAATGAATTATTTTTAGTGCGGTCGACCACGGACTGGGCGAACTCAGCCAGCACTATCTCCCTCTATCTACTTACCCTCTGTTCTTAGAAGGTCTTGATAAATAACTTTTGTTTCATTTTATTTTTATTTCATCTATTTATCATATTTGTTGTATCAAAAAGTAATATTACTAAAAGTTTTGGGCATCTAAGCAGGAGGTCATGCAGCCTGGGAGATATTAGGCATAATAGCTTTAATGTTGTCTAATAGTAGATCCTATTTCATATAAGCATCTGAAAAATTGGCAATAAGTCTTGGAGTTTGCGATCTATCTTTTCTGCCTCATTTACACACAATTGCGGTTTTGGTAAAACTCTTCCTTCGACAACACAACACCATACAATATAATTTTTTCTCACCTTTGATCTTTTTCCTTTTTGCATTTATTCATGGTTTATTTAAAATAGTAGTCCTTTAGTATTAATAATTTTACAGCTGGTGTACACTAGTGAAGTTAAGATGTTATTTTAGTAAAGCGTCATGTATTAATGGGAAAAAGTGGAGTTTGGGGGTTCGGCCAGGTCTCTATTTCAATTAATCCCATTTATATTGTTCACTTACTGAGCCGCCGAGGTTGAATTAACAGGTAAAGTGAGGGTTCACTGTTTTATATATATATATATATATATATATATATATATATATATATATATATATATATATATATATATATATATATATATATATATATATATATATATATATATATATATATATATATATATATATATGCACAATATTTTATAATCGCAGTCATGTGCTGAATATTCTATGTAAAAAATATAAATTTTAAATGAATTATTTCTAGTGTGGTCGACTTCCTACACAAAGACAGGCTATAAATAGCCGTCTTATCTCCCCTCCCCCTCCATCCCTCTGTTCTCAGAAAGGTCTTGGTAAATAACTTTTGTTTGTTTATTTTCATTGTTTGTCTAATTTGTCATGTTGTATCAAAGTAATATTACTAAAAGTTTTAGGCAGCTACCAAACAGGGAGATTCTACTGCTTGGGAAGATATTGGAAGCACAATGTACAGTATTGTCTAATGGTAGACCCTACTTCCATATGGCATCACAAAAATTGTGACCAAGTCTTAGGTTGCTAATTTATCTTTCTGCCTCATTTACACACAATTGCAGAGTTTCAATTGTTTCTCTTCCTTTGACAACACAACATACATACAATATGATGTTTCTTACCTCTGATCTTTTTTCCATTTATTTATGGTTGGTTATTTAAAATAATGCCAATTCACTTCAAGTATTGGCATCAAATTTTACCGACTGGTGTACACTAGTGACTCACTTAAGCGTCAGTTATTTAACTGGAACTAATGTTGGTGTGAGTAAAATATTTCCATTTACTTGAAATAGATTTGCCAGTTTATTTGTTTATTTACAATATGCTGTAATACATTAAACACACTGCAAGTATTTTCTTTAATTTATATACTTGTTTTGCAAAAAAGGGAGGCGACCATTATACCTGGTAGGTGAAGTTGACCAGAAATTTATGGTGATCATTAAGGACCAAACTCCGAATCCATGATGTGACTTCTGTTCATCATTCTCATCCTAAATTTACCACTGTCGGTAGTTTCAAGAATTATCGCAGTCATTTACTGAATATTCTGTAAAAATATAAAATTTAAATTAATTATTTATAGGAGATAAGTATTATGATCAGTAAATATACAGATATGCATTACTGACCACCTCCGAACACAAGGACGGCTAAAAATAGCCACAGGCGGTCACAGTCAAGGTCACTTTCCCTTTCTTGTCACTGGCAAATGGGGGTGGGGGGGATGATGATAGCAGCTGTGTTTATTACCGGGGTATATTGTTCTTTTACGGTATGTTAGACTGGTTTATAATACATTTTTATTATTTTAATATACCGGTAATCTTCATTTTAATCCAGCTTCCCAAACGTAAGTTTCAGTATAAAATAATTAGTGGTAGGACCTTGCGAGTGGTTTACCATGTTTCCATCACCACTCTTGACACGCTAAACCGCTAAACCACAATATTTAAGAGGTAAGAATTTTATCTCTGGTGCTTAAGACAACCCCCTAACTTTGGGCCGATTTTTTTTTTGTTCAAATTCCGTCTTGTAGGCCGAGATATACGGTATGGGTTGATGAGTTGCATTGTTGAAGGAGAGGGGGGGGCCTTGATAAGTCGGAATTTGGAATAACTCAGCAAGGCCAGAGCCCCATATGTGCCGAGTTATCGAGGGTTTACTGGGGGTGGAAATGACTAACCTGAACATAAGATGCAGGGAAGAAGCCTATCTGGTTGTTAAGTTCACCTTGGTACCAGTTGGAGTCAATCTTCTTACGAAGGATTATCATATCTCCTTTTTTGAAACTAAGGTCTCTGTGGAGAAACAAATGAATATCAACCATCTTATCATATCTACTTCTAGATTTTCTGACTTAAAGGTAGCCCAACAATGTATGTTCATACATGCATATTTTCCTAAGTTTAATATATAACTAATATACAGAATACTGTACTACTATACTGTATATATTACTGTAGTTATATATAATCTCCCCACTAGCCAGAATAATTGGTGCAGACCTCATTCAGGGATGAGATAATTTTGGGTAATTAGAACTCTCTCAAACCCATAAAATATCCCCAATCCCTTCAATTTTTGTGCATACAGTACTGTACACTACAGGAATATCCTACTTATCACAGGGAATGCATTCCTAAAAGTAAATGCAATTAACAAAACTGCGAATATCAGGACAATTTTCCCCATAAGAATTAATGTAAATGGGAAGGGGGTTGCATTCCCAGCTAGCAAATTTCACCATATTTTTTTGATACCATATATAATCCTCATTATCCAAGGATATTAGGGACCAGAATCGCATGTATACTGTAGCACGGGTAAACATTCTGTATATTTACGATGTCCCAATCTACGATAATTCGCATTAACAATGCTGATACATTAAGACCACATTGACGATATTCATTATCCCACCAACTCACCAAGTTGGCATATGGAACGCATCACTCGCTTCATTTGTCTGCTGAGGTGTTATCTACCCAAATACCGCTTCGTGGCCATTTTGTGAACTACAGTCCAGCCATTGTTTCTTCTTGGTTACATGTTTGTAAGAAATGGAGCTAAATTTTTTAGCTCACATTGTACTCTGTTTTAGTGACTATGAAGTTATTTTGCTATGACTGTGAAGTTCTTTTGCACTGACTATAAAGTTATTTTGCTCTGCTGTCTGACTGTGAAGTTCTTTTGCTCTGACTGTGAAGTTCTTTTGCTCTGCCTGTGAAGTACTTTTGCTCTGCTGTCTGACTGTGAAGTTCTTTTGCTCTGACTGTGAAGTTCTTTTGCCCTGACTGTGAAGTTATTTTTCCCTGACTATGAAGTTATTTTGCTATGACTGTGAAGTTCTTTTGCACTGACTGTGAAGAACTTTTGCTCTGCTGTCTGACTGTGAAGTTCTTTTGCTCTGACTATGAAGTTCTTTTGCTCTGACTGTGAAGTTCTTTTGCTCTGACTGTGAAATTCTTTTGCTCTGACTGTGAAGTTCTTTTGCTCTGACTGTGAAGTTCTTTTGCTCTGACTGTGAAGTTCTTTTGCTCTGACTGTGAAGTACTTTTGCTCTGCTGTCTGACTGTGAAGTTCTTTTGCTCTGGCCATGAAGTTCTTTTGCTCTGACTGTGAAGTTCTTTTGCTCTGACTGTGAAATTCTTTTGCCCTGACTGTGAAGTTATTTTTCCCTGACTATGAAGTTATTTTGCTATGACTGTGAAGTTCTTTTGCACTGACTGTGAAGAACTTTTGCTCTGCTGTCTGACTGTGAAGTTCTTTTGCCCTGACTGTGAAGTTCTTTCGCTCTGCCTGTGAAGTACTTTTGCTCTGACTGTGAAGTTCTTTTGCTCTGACTGTGAAATTCTTTTGCCCTGACTGTGAAGTTATTTTTCCCTGACTATGAAGTTATTTTGGTATGACTGTGAAGTTCTTTTGCACTGACTGTGAAGAACTTTTGCTCTGCTGTCTGACTGTGAAGTTCTTTTGCTCTGACTGTGAAGTTCTTTTGCTCTGACTGTGAAGTTCTTTTGCTCTGACTGTGAAGTTCTTTTGCTCTGACTGTGAAGTTCTTTTGCTCTGACTGTGAAGTACTTTTGCTCTGCTGTCTGACTGTGAAGTTCTTTTGCTCTGGCCATGAAGTTCTTTTGCTCTGACTGTGAAATTCTTTTGCCCTGACTTTGAAGTTATTTTTCCCTGACTATGAAGTTATTTTGCTATGACTGTGAAGTTCTTTTGCACTGACTGTGAAGAACTTTTGCTCTGCTGTCTGACTGTGAAGTTCTTTTGCTCTGACTGTGAAGTTCTTTTGCTCTGCCTGTGAAGTACTTTTGCTCTGCTGTCTGACTGTGAAGTTCTTTTGCTCTGACTGTGAAGTTCTTTTGCCCTGACTGTGAAGTTATTTTTCCCTGAATATGAAGTTATTTTGCTATGACTGTGAAGTTCTTTTGCACTGACTGTGAAGAACTTTTGCTCTGCTGTCTGACTGTGAAGTTCTTTTGCTCTGACTATGAAGTTCTTTTGCTCTGACTGTGAAGTTCTTTTGCTCTGACTGTGAAATTCTTTTGCTCTGACTGTGAAGTTCTTTTGCTCTGACTGTGAAGTTCTTTTGCTCTGACTGCAGTTCTTGTACTCTGACTGTGAGTTCTTTTGCTCTGACTGTGAAGTTCTTTTGCTCTGACTGTGAAGTTCTTTTGCTCTGACTGTGAAGTACTTTTGCTCTGACTGTGAAGTACTTTTGCTCTGACTGTGAAGTACTTTTGCTCTGCTGTCTGACTGTGAAGTTCTTTTGCTCTGACTGTGAAGTTCTTTTGCTCTGACTGTGAAGTTCTTATGCTCTGACTGTGAAGTTCTTTTGCTCTGACTGTGAAGTTCTTTTGCTCTGACTGTGAAGTTCTTTTGCTCTGGCCATGAAGTTCTTTTGCTCTGACTGTGAAGTACTTTTGCTCTGACTGTGAAGTTCTTTTTGCTCTGGCCATGAAGTTCTTTTGCTCTGACTGTGAAGTTTTTTGCTCGACTGTGAATGCTTTTGCTCTGACTATGAAGATATTTTGCTCTGCAGTCTGACTGTGAAGTTCTTTTGCTCTGACTGATAAGTTCTTTTGCATTGACTGTGAAGTTCTTTTGCTCTGACTGTGAAGTTATTTTTCCCTGACTATGAAGTTATTTTGCTCTGCTGTCTGACTGTGAAGTTCTTTTGCTCTGCTGTCTGACTGTGAAGTTCTTTTGCTCTGACTGTGAAGTTCTTTTGCTCTGACTGTGAAGTTCTTTTGCTCTGACTGTGAAGTTCTTTTGCTCTGACTGTGAAGAACTTTTGTTCTGCTGTCTGACTGTGAAGTTCTTTTGCTCTGACTATGAAGTTCTTTTGCTCTGACTGTGAAGTACTTTTGCTTTCTGCTGTCTGACTGTGAGTTCTTTTGCTATGACTATCAAGTTATTTTGCTCTGCTGTCTGACTGTGAAGTTCTTTTGCTCTGCCTGTAGAAGTTCTTTTGCCCTGACTGTTATTTTCCCCTGACTATGAAGTTATTTTTGCTCTGCTGTCTGACTGTGAAGTTCTTTTGCTCTGCTGTCTGACTGTGAAGTTCTTTTGCTCTGACTGTGAAGTTCTTTTGCTCTGCCTGTGAAGTTCTTTTGCTCTGCCTGTGAAGTTCTTTTGCTCTGCCTGTGAAGTTCTTTTGCTCTGCCTGTGAAGTTCTTTTGCTCTGACTGTGAAGTTCTTTTGCTCTGACTGTGAAGTTCTTTTGCTCTGACTGTGAAGTTCTTTTGCTCTGCCTGTGAAGTTCTTTTGCTCTGCCTGTGAAGTTCTTTTGCTCTGACAGTGAAGTTCTTTTGCTCTGACTGTGAAGTTCTTTTGCTATGACTATGAAGTTATTTTGCTCTGCTGTCTGACTGTGAAGTTCTTTTGCTCTGACAGTGAAGTTCTTTTGCTCTGACTGTGAAGTTCTTTTGCTATGACTATGAAGTTATTTTGCTCTGCTGTCTGACTGTGAAGTTCTTTTGCTCTGACAGTGAAGTTCTTTTGCTCTGACAGTGAAGTTCTTTTGCTCTGACAGTGAAGTTCTTTTGCTCTGACTGTGAAGTTATTTTTCTCTGACTGGGAAGTTCTTTTGCTCTGCCTGTGAAGTTATTTTGCTCTTCCTGTGAAGTTCCTTTGCTCTGACTGTGAAGTTATTTTTCTCTGAATGGGAAGTTCTTTTGCTCTGACTGTGAAGTTCTTTTGCTCTGACTATGAAGTTCTTTTGCCCTGAGGCATTGTTATTTTTCATCTGTTTGATGGCAGTAGCTACCTCATCCAGGGATGGAGGATAGCTGAGGTGGGTCAGCTCTGGGTGCTAAGGGACCTGCTGGGTGGTCAGGACATCTTTCAGCTGAGCAGTGAAAGGTAGTGCTCTTTCCAGCGCTGAAGGAGGCCTTCATCGTCTTTAATTATGGAGTTACGATTCGATGACCGGTGGTGGGGGGGGCTGTGCCACGAGTGATTAGCCCATAAAATGTTTTAGAGGAATTGAAAAATTGGCGCACCTTGTGCCGATCTGCAAATCTTTGTGTTTCACATGCTTTATTTTTAAACCAGTCATTCTTTACATTGCAATGTTCCCGCTGGGCCGCCACTTTCTTCTTGTGGAAGGTATCATCTTTGGTCCTAGACTGAGGGTTGTTCTGCCAGTCAATAAGCAGCACGTTTATCATCGACGAGTACATTGATTGCCGGGTCATTTTCATCAAACCAGTCTTGGTGTATTCTTTCGATCTGGCAGAAGGTCTCTCTGCAAGTTTTTGTCATGACAGTTGTATGATATATATGGACACAAAGTAGAACCTTCAGCTGTTTATTATTATATTGTTATATTACTCTTATTAATTATGTATAGTAAAGTATTACAGAACATGTATTAATTCTATGTAATATTCTATCTATTGTGCACCATGTTATGTATATAAATTATCACATTTATACTTTATGTATTTAGCTTGTGAATGCTGGCATCTGTACAGGCCAGCGCGTAGTAATACATAGATAGATGTAAAGAGAGAAGACTGAGTCCTTTGTGGCGTGACCACGGGCTTCTGCGTCCTATTGTATATATATCTCCCGTACGAGAATAGAACCTACTTTTAAGACAACAAGTTTTTGTGTATACCCTCAGTAGTATAGAACATTCTTTGGGTATCCCCGGCAATACGCTAGATGGCGCAGTGATTATTTCTCAGTGAGATACAGTGGACCAAGCCTTTCCGCCTGGACTCTGTTAATGGCGTCTCGTCTTCAGTGACTTCAGCTTCAGACAGCAAGACTACTACAAGCCTCT